TCGACACGCTAATGATTTTGTCATAGGGTGAGAAAGTCAAATATTGCTTATATCAGAGGACTTGGTAATTAAGAATGGTAGGTTTGTTTGCCAATCTTGTTCATGTTCTAGAAGCTAACTACTGCACAAAAATAATAGAATTGTATATGAATATGACCAGTATGTTGTGATTTCCTGTTTAAGATAATAAATAAAAAAATTATTATTTATATTTATATTTATATTTGATGCTCATAAGCTAGTATTTCAGGAGCACATAATCAGCAATCGATCACCATCCACTCCCCTAGAAGATAATCAGCGAGGGAAGGCAATCGATTGATATTAGTAGATCGAGCTCGCGATCTCGATGGATATAATCAAAGGTTAACCAGCAATAGAGGATGAGAAGACCACATTGTCACAAGATCGTGAAGCAAACACATCGATCCAACTAGCTTCATTTTATCGAGACTAACCAACGAGGCATCTAATACCTTTGTCTCCTTTATTCCCGCTAGACCCACGTGAAAATTACCACTCGTAGGACATATCATCAAAAAGGGACCATATTTTAAAAATTAGTGGGGAAAATTTTGAATTTATGTACATAATATATCATTGCATGAATGTAAAGTTGAAAATGAGTATATAGAAAAAAAGAGTTTTCAACATGGGCTTAGTATGATTAATTCCTTTCTCATATTTTCTATAGCCGGAGGTTATTCTGCACTTCTCCATTCAAAATTTTGTATGACCGTTATATCTCTTAGTGGGACCCAGTTGTGTGGCAGCCTTTGATTTGACATGAGGCTTTTTACGAAATTGCTATAACTTCTCTTAGAAAGAATTTTATTTAAAAGGGCAAATGGGTAATTCAACCAAATTCGGTCAACAAAAAACTGGCTCCCTTCTGACGATTACACTGTATAACGAAACAGTTGGAATTCATCTAAAAATGAGGTCAAAATGATTACCAAACAGGGGATTAAATAAACTTTAAAAATAAGTTTCGCCAAGCACACTAATTCCTTTTTAATTAGATAGCGGTGAGAGCTAAACTTGGGATCAAGTTTAGGTTATAAGTGGGTATGGAGTGATTGAAAAAGTATTGTTTTGGAAAGAATAAGATCATTTAAAAATTAGCTTAAAATTGACCGTTACTATGAAATATGTCCTTCAAGTTCGAACCAAAAACTCAATAATTGATAATATTTCATCACTACGTTCGTAGGAAGATTCTTTTAAAATATAAATATTATATGTATAGACATATTTATACAATTTTTTCAATATATGTAATCATTTATATGTATCTTAAACTATATTCAAGTGATTTTAAAAAGATTAGTATAAACTATAATCATAGTATAACTAAGATATAGTAGGTGGGCCCCAATGTGGTAGGTGGGGGAATCATCTCAACATGTTAATATTGTGTTGTTTCTTGTCAAGGACTCAACCGACTTACATTGTGGCGTGCATGGAATGGAGTTTTTTGGTAAAGTAGTAGGTATGTGGGACCCTTATTATAGATATATTTTCTAGCCGCCTTTAACAAATTTCAAATTCATATTCTTTAATTATTATTTTTTTCTAAATTTATTATCAACCACATAATTTTTCGATAAAATTATTTTGGACGTGTATTCATTACGACGTATTCTCCAAAAGTATCACTCTTCTCATAGTCTAAATCAAATAGGCACCAATTATTTTAATACGGGTCGAACGATCTTGTTGTCCGTATGGACCATGTCATGAGTCAAGCTTTGTATTTGTATATATGACAATTGACTACCTATATCAAACCAAAATCGACTCCATGCACAATTAAAGTGAAATGTCTTTATTATAGTTCATTATTGAACCTGCCAAACAATTTGGAATGCAATGATCCATATTTTATACTCCTTCCGTTCCATTTATATGGACCGATTTGTTTTCCCACAAATTAAGAAATCTTATTTAATGTTATTGAAAAATCAAACTTTGCCAAATATTTGTTCATTATTGTTTGAAGTAGTGAAAAATATTGAATGATTGTATGTATTTGAATGATTTCAAGAAGTACGTATCTTTATATTTGTATAATTTCAAGATTAAATGGGGAAAATTGATTAAAAATAGACAAATTAAATAAGGGTATATTAGTAAATGAACAAAACAAAACATTCTTAATAAAGAAACATGACTTTATAATTGAAACAAAAAAATAACGAAAGTTAGCCTGTATAAATAGGACGGAGAGATCGTGATTTATTCTTCTCTATCTAATGTAATATTGTAATGTACTAATATTGGGGGTGTTTCTCATAACTAGATGTATAAAACAGATCAGAATATTAGGCTATGTTTGATAGCCTTTTTTTTTCCAAAATTTCAACATTTTTCATGTGGAAAATTATACCAATCAAACACAATTAATTGACAATTTTCAGAAAAACAATTATAGGCAATTCAATTCCTTGGAATTCACTTTCTTTCCACCCAAATTCAATTCTTACAATCAAACGGATCCTTAGTAATTTAGTGCACAAGTCGGACATGATTTACAATTTAGTGCACAAGTCGCCCCATCCAACATAATTTTTAACATTTTCAAGTTCGTTTTTAAGGAAAAGTTTGCGTGGGACGACTGACCTCTCTAGACAAACTAACCAATGAAACAACTACAGACCTATGTTGGATCAAACAAGTCTCGAACGTCATAGTTCAACTCACTTTTACGTCAAGCAGGACAACCAGAACATACAGCGAAAAGAACAACGAAGAATCTAATCTATCTCTTTGTCCGGATACCGTGTATGATGTGTTTTATTGACGAATGTACATGAAACCAATTATTGGACTTTGATTATGATTGCCATACAAATTCAACATAATTAGGCAGATTCAACGCAGTTTTAACTTTTTAGATTTAGAAACATAACCAGATTAATAGAATTCCAATACATAATATAAATATTTTCTAACTTTTTTTTTTTTTTTTTTTCATTGCTTATTAAAAGGTCAAAAATTAAGTAAATCTAACTACAACTACCCCTTAATGGAGTTTAACCAAACCCTTGACAAACAAAACTCATCTAATTTTGACTTTAAGCTTCCGTCGGTATGGAAAAACGGGTGTTTGGTGAGAATTAAAATTAGATTTTTAGTATGTTGTGATATAAGTTTTTGAAATATGTGGTTGAAAAGTTGTGGGACCCATGAAAAATGTGGGGCATAATCGTAATCTATTTCATAAGCAGAATTAGCAAATAATTAGAAATTTTTAATATTGTTTTTCCATCATATGAGCAGCATTTAATTAAAAGTTGAAAATGGGAATAAAGTTGGCAGTGTTGCCATCAAGCCAACTAGGTTATAACGACTATGAGAAAAGTTGGTCAAGCTCGTGTTTATAAACACTTACGGTCCGTTTGATTGCAAGTGTGGAAAATAAGGGGAAAGAAAATGAATTACACGGAAAGTAATTGCCTAAAAATTGTTTTCCAGGGAATTGGAAATTAAGTGTGTTTGATTGGCATAATTTTCCACCCGGAAAATTTTTAAATTTTGTATTTGTTTGACTTTATTTTACATGAAAATTGTCCATGAAAGTGATATTTTTTTTCCACAATTGGTTATAAAATTTGTTTCCATTACCAAAAAGTAAAAAAAAAAATAAAAAATTTTATCAAAATTTAGTGTTTGTTTGACTTTGTTTTATATGGAAATTGTCAATTAAAGTGATTTTTTTTTTTTACAATTGATTATGAAATTTGTTTCCATTATCAAAAAAAATAATAATAAATGAAAAAATAAAAACGCAGCAACATGGAATTCATTTTCCCACCAAAAAGATGAGAAAATCAATTCCACCAAATCATGAACTTGGCACGTGTGAGGGAATTGTGGAAAAAGTTTTCTATAGAAAATTTGTACCATCAAATATGCCAAAAGATAGAATTTTCCATTTTCCATGGAAAATATCTCCTATCAAATGCACCATTGGATTATTTTTTATTCACATATTTCGAGGAATTTACAAGTATTTTTCACTTATTCATTACTTATTTCTATCTAATTATAATTCATACTATTTATGAACACTACTCAAACATCTACTAGTCGAAAGGTCAAGTAGAGATCACATGAACTAGATTTATTTTTCGAATTGATATGTGAATTATTATATAATGAGCGATGGCATGTCTCGTCCTACGTTAGCTATTTCATCTAAAATCTTAAATTATTGCAAAATGACCATGTATAATCACTTAAATCTCGAGACATTCAATGGTTTATGCTCAAGAAACCAAAATTAAGCAAACATAATCATCATAGATTGAAGTATTGTATTCAAACATTTTCTATCAATCCAATTTTTCCAATGACAAAATTTTGTAGTATTTGGCAAAAGAAAAAAAAATGAACATGTATGAGAAGAAACTAGATTTATATACTTTTCTCACTTTTAGTGTAAACTAAATTCGTCCAAGTTACTCTTCGGGACAGAGTTGAAGAAGGGAGGGGATTCTGGACCCCGGACCAAACATAGCATTTCTGTCTTATTGATAAGTCCATGGCCATCGAAAAGAGGGAGAACTGTAGACTGCAACCAATCCTCCGCTCCATGCAAGAATTTTTCGACGCTAAATTGCTTTGCTATATCTTCAGTGCAATTCTTCCTATACCCTGACCATGAAATCCTATGTTTTGTGTCTGAACCTGGTCCAGAATTTAAGTATTCCATGTAATCTACAGTGCCCAAATTGCTATACACATCCCACTTGCACCATCCTTGAGGGTGTATAAGGTCACCCATATAACTATTCATTATATTAGTCCTAGAGTAATTCCTCCATGGCCTTCCCAAATATGTAACAAAGTTTTTCCTCTCTGTCATGTTGAATTCCGGGGCAGCCTCTATCGTGCAATTCTGCAGTGAAATGCCAGTGTTCTGGTTTGGATCTTCTCGCCCTTGAGCCGTGATGACGTTCCTCTGGCCGGGATTCGGTTTTCGTACCAGTATTGAGCAGTTCTGGAAAATTGCTGCTGCATTACCGAAGATGAAATCTATCGTGCCTTGAATCGAGCATTCACGGTAGAACTGCCGGAGGGAATGGGCATAGAGTGTGTCCTGATGGGAAATGATCTCGCAACGGTAGAATGCAGCATTTGAGGTTACTCTTAGAGCAACTGCTTGGTGCTTTTCTGGACCTGATGTGTTTATGATTGTTAAGTCTGTAGCTAAGAATTTGTCTCCCACCACAGCTGCAAAGATTAAAAAGATAGAATTAATGTAAGTTGGAGTGATTATGTTCAAATAAGAGCGCTACGAACACATACTATTGATGTTTACGATGTTAGCCTTATATAATATTATTGCTTAATATTTAGTTTTCTTCTTTTATAAGTTTCCTTTTTTGTTTACTTTTCTTGTAAATTTGTAATGTATAAACTTGTGTATTTCATTAGAAAACTAATTTTTGGAGACTCCTACTATCAGTTTTCTTCCTCCATCTCTTAGTTCTTCTCTTTTGTTTGATTTATCAAATTGGTTTGCATTATTCACATACGGCACCACGGAAAGGATAGTAATGTGAATAAAGTTGCGCGTAAAAGCAGAGCACGACCCATCTTAGTGGTGTGGAAACGGGAGGGCTGCCCAGGACCATAGCGTCCAGGCCTGGCTACGGGTTGACAACGCGATAAAAGTAGTGGGGTATTGCTCATCCCAAGTCCTATTACACACACACCAAAATGCAATAAATAATCTACAAACTCTGCTAACGCCAAAAATCTGTTAGTTCTCACTTTCGCATGAATGTAGGAATAAATTAGAAACAGAGAAGTTTAATGAGACTTACTCAAGGTAGCTGATGCAAAGGTAGAAAAGCCATCTGCAAAATTTCTCCATCCCCTGATAATTGTTGAGTTCATACCATCTCCAACTAACATGATATTAATCTTCTCTCTTGGAATCAACACATTTTCTTTATAAATTCCTGCCTTGATTCTAATAACAAATCTGTTCATACTCATATTTGGTGCCACTGCAATTGCCTCACCAATTGTTGTGTAATTTCCAGTGCCGTCTGAATTCACAATCACATCTGGCCTTAATCTGTTTGTAGTTTCCTAGAATTAAAAGTAAAAATCCGATCATTTAAATACGAAAATAATACATATTGAGGTTTATGAGAACCCAAAAGGCTGAAATGAGCAATCTGATTTGTCCAAAGCTCAAACAGATGGTCCGATTCCAAGATTGGTGTTCTCACGAAAGAACCCCGCATTGCTTAAATATGAAAAAAAAAACATGTAAGGGACTCAATACCTGCATCGTTCTCCTCTGATGAACACAGTCTTTAAACTCATCATTTTCTGGTAATTTAGTATTCAGAATTCTAGGTTTCTTGAGATTTTGTTTCCAGGCTTTGTTCTCCACGTATTTGATCATGGCTAGACTATTGCTGATCATGCGAGAAATTGGAGTTAACAAATTCTGAAGATGATCTTTGTGACCCGTTTGCTTATCCAAATTCAGTTCTTCCAGGTCTGAAAACCCATCAATGCAGGTATTTTCATTAGTCATGGCTGCACTCAATAGGGTTTTGATGTTCCCATATGATATTCGAACATAAGATGGGGGAGAAATTCGTAAATCTTCAACTGCTTGTGCAAGTTCATAAAGGGTTTGATCCAACATTTCCATGCAATCTTTCAGTGCATTCTTTTCCTGTGAATTCAAATCTTGGTGTTGAAAATGAGCCAAGATATCACGTTCCGTTGCCTTCACGTGTCCAGCTGTTTGATTAATTGCCACCTCGAGAATTCGACGGAAACTGGTGGCGTTCTTGGAGCCATGAATGGAGGATAGGCTGGATAGGCATAAAGAAGGGTATAGTGTAGTGGCACAAGCTTTCTTGATGAATAAATGGAGCCCGATTAATGGCGGAGATTGAATCAACGGTTGATGATCAATTCTTGATGATGACGGAAGCTTGAAAAGTAGAGCGATGAGAAGTGCCACAATTGGGAGAAATACAATGAGAATTATGGTTTTTCTTCGAGTTTTTGCTAGTTTCTTGAAGAATCGAGAATTCTTGATGGCATTTTTGGGCTCCATTTTGTAAGCAAAAAATGAGCACAAAATTTTGCTGCAATGACAGGGAAAACTGACTGTGCAATGCTTAAGAAGCAAAGGAGAAGCAGCAAAACTAACTTTTATGTCAGTTAATGGGCGTTATACACTTGATCAACTTACCAGTGTTTTTAAATCCGTCCCAAAACTGAATCAAAAAGTTAAAGGATTAAGGGTCGGAGGGTTCGACCCGAGTTTAACCAAGTCGAAGGGCTTAATCAACACTGGCATTTCATCTATTCTTGATTTTTGACAATCTTTTCCATTAGTTCAGTCGATTAGATTATAGTTTATTGAATTTTCTCTCAATCGATTCTGTCAAGAACTCGAGTTTCACAATGCTAAAGTGGTATCAGAGCGAGGATTTAACTTAAGACATGAAAATCGATTGTCCAACCATGAAATGAATAACAAAAGAAAGTCTCACAATTAAAACTGAAATTGAAAACAGCATTTTCTTCTCTCAGTCTCAACAGTCGGTTTATTAAAACATCACAGAAAACTTCATTTGGAAACTCTCCCATACTAGCCCTCTTTTCATTTGTCTACTCATCAACTGCCCGGGGAACATCTTCAGCCTGAATAAAATTACATACAATATGTAGAATGTACTTTATCAGCAGAGTGTCTAAGAAATTGTACATTTTTTTTTTGAGATAGGAAAAATGGGATAAAGGAACTCACCAACTTGCGATATTTGAGGCCGTAAAACATTTCGAGATATCGTCTGATCTCGAGGTGATCAAGCTTGGACACGTACTTCCAGAATCCGTATACTCCAGCCAGTGTCGATAGCCTATCCGAGTAAATTTGCCATGCATACCTACAGAAATGGGAATGTTGGGAATTTCAATTGGTGATGAACAGAGATTTGTTTTATGGGTTCTTGAATTACGATATCAAAATGCATTGCTTACTTCTCTTGGATGAGTTTCAGGCCACCCATCGAGATGGTTTCCCAGTAAGAAGGATCTGGTTTGGACCTCCCGAAGAAATTGACAAGGAGCTGAGCCACATGCAACCCCTGGTAAGGATCAATGTAGAAACCAGACTTTCCATGGACAATGATTTTGGCTGGACCACCATGGACCGTTACAAAGGTTGGCAAACCACAAGTCATGGCCTCGACTACAGTCAAACCGAAGGCTTCATAGAATGCTGGTTGCACAAAAGATCCACTGTTGTCAGCAATATAACGATAGAGTTCGCCATTTCTCACACGGTTCATCTGAGAAGAAATCCATCTGAATTGACCATTCAACTTGTACGTTTCTATGAGACTATACATTTTCTTCACCTCTGCCAAATGTGTTAGGTACAATCATGAAGATTTTAGCATCTTTCTCTTGCAATACTGTCTAGTAGTTTTTGTCCAACTTACCGAACAAGCCATTAATGAAAAAAAAAAGGTTTAAGGGTACTAACAATTATAATACGTGGTTTGATATCAAGTCCTTGCTCTTTTATTCGTTTAAGCATCTCACGCTCCAAGGCCAAAACTTAAAGCCAAAATGTAGACAACTGGAAATTTTGGAATGCTTAGAATGTAGAACAATACAAGTGAGGAATTGGGCGAAATGGGGGATCATTAATTCAGAATCCACCTGGCCACCAGTGACGCGATAGCCTAACACATTTTCTTGAGCAAAGTAACCATGGGGGGAAAGTATAACAACATTGAAAACCATAGGGATTCTCCCAAGGAATTTCTCAAGAGTGCAGGAATCAGGAGCCTCTAGAAGATCGAGAAGCACAGATATCATCTCATACACTCGTTCAGCATTATCACCCCATCCTCTCTCCAATCCGATCTCTTGGAGCTTATGTTCAAATTCCGAGTATGGTGTTTCTGAAGGAAGTGTTGACAGGTATTCCTCTGCCTGAGAACTGCTTGGAGAGAATTTAGGTTTCGTATTCTGTCATTTAGCATCATTGTCTGCACAAAAAATATAATAATCAGATTTTGCTAGGATTTATAGTCATAATTAAAGTTGAAATTGTGGATTTCGCATCTAGTTCACCTTGCCCTTATAGTGGTGCATTCCGAGGAAATCAAGAAGAGGGGTCAAGCTATCTCTGTCATGGAACATCTTTGCAGAGAGGTGCCTGTTGAGGAATTCGACTCCATTTCCAATGGACTTGGTAAGGTTGGACAGGAAATGATGCAGTAAATGGTTCAAAGTCCAACTCAAGAACAAAGTTTCCATTGGAGGTGCATCAGCATACAGAGTACTGCTCAGCCAAATTGACGAGAGATTCACAAAGAAACAATTCAGGACCTAGAACTTATGTTCCATCAACAAGCTCTTTTTTGAAGTGCAGATGCTCGGGTACTGTCAGTTCCTCAACAACTAGTGCATTAACATTGACATGCACATATTCCCAAACCCCGGGCCGTAGTCGAAGGCAGCACAATGCCTTCCTATTAGAAGGCAGTTGTAACAGAATCAGGAATATGCAAATGGGAATCACGATTTTTAAGGGCCGTAAGACAGTACTATTACACCAGACTGTGTAGAGCTTAATAATAATGTTCACTTAGCCCCTCAACTTTGTATCGACCCAATAGTCCAATCATATATAAATTATTTTAAAGTATTTATTGCTTATTGCTCTAGTGATTAGAATTAAGATTTAACCACTGACATATTGTACCTGTGTGAACTTTAAAACTTCTTGAAATGCATGATCCTGCAGTTTTTCTTTGTCACTTTCGCAAATTGCTTCAAACTCAGCAAGAAGCTGGTGCGTTTTCAGGATTCCTTTTCCATGCTCTTCAATCCTGCAATAACCAATATTAATTACGAACCAAAAAACATAAGATCAACCCAATATCATCCTCTATAACAACCAAGTAAGAGTAAAGAAAGCAGTAAGATTTTACGCAGAATATACCTTGACAGAATCAACAACATGTCATTAGGATGATCTGCTAGAGTAGCATCCAAGCGTTCACGGAGGCTGTGAACAAGAGTCACAACACGCGGATCCGCCATTGATGGCACTTGATCACTCGAAAAATTAGGGAAAAGATTCAACTGTAAGAAAATTACTAGTTAGAGGAAACAAATAGATAAGTATACTTACCAAAAATAGAACTTGACAGAAATTTGATCAGAATATTAGTCTACCAGCCACCTAATAATTCAATCAAGACTACTAAAAAATTTCACAACCTAACCAACATAATGACATTTGATGGATCATAATAAATGAAACTGGTAATCGATAGCATAACAAACACGAAAATTACACATCCATTATCTTTAAGATCAACCACTAACAGAACTTTTCCATCAAAACTCACATCTTTAAACAGGAAATTTAGCTATCAACGCATGAAAAACAACGCGAACGTGAAAAATGAGAGCAGAAACAAGCATCAAAGTAATTGCATTACAGCAAAAATAGATAACCTGCTAAAAAATTGAAGTAAAAAACCCTAAAATCCATTCATTTAAGATCATACAGAATTTTCCATCAAAACATGTATCTTTAAACAGGAAATCTAGCCGTCATCATATGGAAAAAGAACAAAAATGTGTACTCCCCTTTTACCTCTTAAAACAGTAATTCAGAAAAGTAAGCAAAAGAACCAAAGAGAAAACACTAACACCGAATCAACAGCAAAGTAGGGAAAAGAGAGAAGAAAGTAATAAAGTGGACACTAGGAAGAAAAATGAAAGAGTTTTGCTTGTGATGGTGAAGAGGAAGCTTAGCAAACTCATATATACACACACACAATCTGAAAACTAACAATTTAAGCCCTTGTTTGGCCCCATTATTGTGCATTTTTTATGGTTCAAAATTTGAGAATGAGTGGTGAAAAAGTAGTGAAAAATTTTAGATTTGTGTGTAATATTATTTTATTCGATCAATGTGTGATTGTAATGAAGAGTGAAAAAATTTTAATATAATGTAATGAAATTTAATAGGTGCAAAACAAGGGCTAAGTTGATAAATGAAATTTAATTTTATAAAGTTAGACTTGCAAAAATCACGTGACAATTAAACATAGATTTGGACAATTTTGTATGATTGTAACAACCAACCTGCTCTCAAAGTAATAGATTAAGGACCAATACTGCAATTTCTCTATTTTTGATGTAACCCGTAATTGTACAAAAGTGGGCTGGGCTAACTCTACATTTATTACCTGTAACTGGGCTGGTAGCCCAAAAGTATGGCCCTATCGAGGCCCACCCATTCAAATTCTGCTGTGCGACGCGTACGGTAACGGCAAAAAGACAAATAAAATTTATCAAATTTACAAACGCATAACTAGCCGTTATCATTTTATCATTTCGCTAAAAAATTGATAAAAAAGGAAAGAAAATACAAGATTTCTCTCCCAGGAGCTCTCTCCGTTTTCCATTTCTGTAGAAACTCTCTTAAAAAAAGAAATTTTCTTTGAAAAGGAATTAAAGAATAGGAGATACTGAATAGAGTGTTGAATTATTGGCTTTGAGTGATCAATGCTGCCGGTGATTTTACAAGAAATCTGAGGATTCTTTTCAGGGTAAGTAATTCATTTTCTTGTTATTAGTTTCCAGGTTTAACTTCATTTTTCTGGGATTTCACTGTAGTTGATATTTCAGGTGTTCTTTTGCTGGACTTTCTTTTTTCTTTATTCTTTTCAAATTATAATTTCGTGATTGTTCATCTCCTATTTTTAAAATTTTTTTTTTCCTTTTTGGTAGTTCTTTTCAAATTATAATTTCGTGATTTAAGAATAATGCAATTTTATTATTATTTCATTTTCTTTTGAGTTTTTAAATTCGAGGACTTCATAGTGCCATTGTGGATTTTTTCCGGTTGTATTGAGATTTTGAAAGCACTTGTTAATTTGTTGGAAACGCAACTGCAATTATAATGTTGGTTTTTTCTATTATCTTTTCCCAGTGGATTTACCATTAATTGAACCCTAGAATTTTGTGTTAAGTGCTTTTTGCGATACTTGTGGATAATGATGATCTTTCTCAGATACGGGGCAGAAAAGTACTGTTTGATGAAGATGACAATAGGTACACCAAAAACACCATCATCAAAAAGCAGGAGGACTCCAGCATCTACCCCCGGTGGCCCAAAAGTGCAGGAGGAGAAAATTTTAGTGACTGTTCGAGTAAGGCCACTAAGTGCAAAAGAATTAGCTGCCTATGATCTTGTTGCATGGGAGATTACAGATGAAAATACTATTGTATCGAAGAATCTATACCACGAGCGGCATGCAGGACCATATACATTTGGTATTAACTAAACCATAGCCGATTAGTTCTATTACCAAAATACTATTTTCAGATTTATATATTTATTCGTCTATGGCAGATAAGGTTTTTGATCCGACTTGCTCAACCAGGAAGGTTTATGAAGAAGGGGCAAGAGATGTAGCACTCTCTGCTCTTAGCGGAATCAATGGTAAAAGATATACTAGAATACTGTCTGGAAATTTAGTTATGATAATATGTGTGTGATTTTGGTTGTCTTTTTTCTGTTAGCTTGTAAATGTCATCTGATTTCATAATTGCAGCAACAATCTTCGCATATGGGCAGACTAGTAGTGGAAAGACATTCACCATAAGAGGCATAACTGAAAATGCTGTCAGAGACATTTATGAGCACATCAATACTGTAAGCTATATTTGTCTCAGAATCCGTTATCAGTTAATTCCGATGGAGCATATTTTAGCACCGTATATCATGTTAGAAGGCCTTTGCTTAAGTTCGACTTTGGTTGTGATTTCCCTGACGATCAGATTTTCTGTCTTGTCTTGCAGAATCCGGAGAGGGAATTTGCTCTTAAGTTCTCTGCCTTAGAGATTTATAATGAGACTGTTGTAGATCTCTTGAACAGAGAATCTGGCCCCCTTCGCCTGTTAGATGATCCTGAGGTGAAAAACGTTAAGTTTAAATATTGAATTGTTCTGTAGATTGGTTTCTTGAAATGTTCTTTTCTTATGCAGAAAGGGACGATCGTGGAGAAGTTAATTGAAGAGGTTGTCAAGGATGATCAACATTTGAGGCACTTAATTAGTATTTGTGAAGGTTATAAGCAGCTCGTTATTTTTCTCATCATTATTGCCTATATGTTGTTCCACTTTTTCATTCCATTTTCTGCAAAGAAATTAAATAAATTAGTATCAAGCACAATAATATCCTAATCCAGCCTTCACAAAATGCACTTGCTTTCAGCCAACAGGCAGGTGGGTGAAACTTCTCTAAATGATAAAAGTTCAAGGTCACACCAGATAATTAGGCTGGTAAGCTTGCATCGTATTAGTACTATTTTGTATTCTGGCACTTGTATTTATGAAAATGATTCGTGAGTATTTAGTAAGGTAATTATATTTTCAGTTTACAACATGTTTGAGTTGAATGCCGTAAGTTTCATCTTTCTGTCTAATACTACGTGCTTCATACACTGACTTCTTTCTCAACTTTCCTCTTGTTCTTGCTTCCATTTTAATGTGGCCAATTTTTGTAAATTTTTGTCTGACTGCTTATCAGATTCTAGACTCTTGTCCAATTGTCCCACTGGATGATGTGCTTTTCATCATTCTATATGTACTCATTTTTTCTTTACTTTGGGTTACCGACATCTTTCTCTTGCTATTCTCATCGTACAAATCTATGAACTAGCTACACTGTTGAATGTAAAATCAATCACCAAGTATTCCGGACTCAGTATACCGCCAATATACCGAATCAAACGCCACAGAGTATCAAACCCAAAACCACAAACCACTCCCAAAACCGGTTGCTTTCTTGGCTTGCCCACTAAGGACAAAGGTAAGTGATGTTGAAGCACACAATAGCCACAAAGGCTAAGGGCGAAAAAAAAAAGAGACAATAACACACTGCAGAAGAAGGCACCAAGCACGGACGCAGTAATATTGCTCAAAGGAAGAAGACAACAACCATTCACTCACATGCATAGCCAACAAGAAACAGGGGCAGCATATATGGCATTAGGTGGGCTTTAGATCAAGCAATAGTTAGGTTCAAGTAGAATTGTTAATGGGTAAATGGGTTATCAACCTAAAAAACTATCCAAGATTTATGGGTCGGGCCATGAATAAAACTAATTAAATTAGGCTGCTTTCAAATGGCCCAAATAGGTTGTAGGATTGGTTTGAATAATATGGTGTCGATTTTTTACTTAAGTCATTTGGTCGATACCGACTAAATAAACAATGACTTTACATAATCACCCGGGAGGTCGTTTGACAACAATTTGCCTAACATACACATTAATTTTCACAATCTTTTGCACATCTTTGATTTTGTATATATGATATTTGTGGTTGCTGAACATCACATCTACTTTTACCAAGGTAAACCAAGCTTTAACTCTCATGTATATAGAACATAGATAATTTACCTTGTTTCTGATCTCTACTTTACATGGTAACTTCAATTTTCTCTTTATATGTGCATGTCTCTGTGCATGTGTATATATGAAGGATTTTTCTTTCTTTTTTTTTAATACTTCGTATGTCTAAAATCTCGTGATACAATGCATGATTTTTATCTTTTCTGTAACTTTGATATAGACCATCCAAAGTAGTCTCCGAGAAGATTCAAGGTGTGTGAAATCCTTTTTGGGAAGTTTGGTGAGTTATCTGTCTCCCCTCTCTCAAGATCTTTCTTCTATTAACCAAAATACAACCATCAAATATATATAATTCTGGATTATGCAGAATCTTGTGGATCTAGCCGGGAGTGAGCGTGCAATTCAAACAAATGCTGATGGTACAAGATTGAAGGAAGGGAGTCATATAAATAGAAGCTTGCTAACTTTGGCAAGTGTAATTAGGAAGTTAAGGTAGTCAAATGAGATTGTCAGTTTATTTGTTTATCTTTTATTATCGTCGTGTATATCATATTGTGATCTTGGATATTAGGAAGTTAAGGTAATCAAATGAGATAGTGAGAAGCCATATTAGTGTAATTATTTGATCTTCTTGACCTCAATAACACACATAGTTTATTTGTTTATCTTTTATTATTGTAGTGTACATCATATTGTGATCTTGGATAAACTGATGAACTAAAGATTGGAAGGGAGTGCATATGATTCCATGCCCTTCCTCCTATTGATATGTAGCTATCAGAAGGAGAATATTTAATTAAAAAGTAAAAAAGAAAAGAACTAAAAAATCCGTAATTTATCAATTCTATAAATCTACTTTGAGATGGCTTAATAAGATTTCATTGGGTGCTATGGATTATCAGTCTTAATGTTTGTGTATGTAAACAAAATTTAATTTCAGTATATGTAGTGATAGGTGCATACGATCCTTTTCTCATTGTTTTCTTTGCAGCGGGGGAAAGAGGGGCCACGTTCCTTACAGGGATTCAAAACTCACTAGAATATTGCAGACTTCAATTGGAGGAAATGCAAGAACTGCTATAGTTTGCACCATCAGTCCTGCTTTAAGTCATGTGGAACAATCCCGAAACACGCTCTCATTTGCGACTAGTGCAAAGGAAGTTACCAATACTGCCCAAGTTAACATGGTATGTCAATAAAACTAACTCGTGCAAAATGAGATTTTTTTACTTTTTGTTTTTTGTTTATTTGTGCAAATGCTAAATTTCTAATATTGGATTCAATGTACATCAGTACAAAGAAATGTAGATATCGTTATACCCCTCTTGATATAATTGCAAGAGAATGACTTTGCTATCAAATTGAAAAAAATAGTGTATGTTATGGAAACAAATATATTGTAGCAATCACGTGCAAACATATATTATATGTTTTTTAGGGAGGATTAGATATTATTAGACAATATTAAGAAAGAAAAATAAGCTAATATCTTATTTATTATACTGTCGGGGTCCTATTCGGTACTGTATTGTATGCGTTATTGCATGAACTTATATGTCTAGGTTGTTGCCGAGAAGCAATTAGTGAAGAACTTGCAGAAGCAAGTTGCCAGGCTTGAAGCAGAGCTCCAAATCCCCGAGCCAACTGCTTCTTCAAGTTTAAGGTCTCTACTGAGGCAAAAGGAATTGAAAATCCAGCAGGTACTACAGGAGCTTTTTCTTTGATGAGAAGTCAACTAGTTTATTTTCTGTTCAAGTGTTAGACAGAGATAAGGTTATTATATGATGAACGAATGTTACTATTAAATCTCCTTTTGCTTGCATCTCTACTTAACAAGCCTTGACGTCAAGCAGTTTATGTTATGCACAATTTTTTTGTCATATAGAGGAGAAAGATGGCTATGCATTTTATGGCAGAGCCAATTAAGCAAGAAACTGTCAAGAAACGAGAGTGGGCGAAGTTAGACTATAGAGGAAGCAAGTTTACTGGAAGGATATAGAAATCAATTTGTAGAGAGAGAGAGCTAAATAAGAAAATAACAAAAAAAGAGCCTTTTCATTATTAAGTTTTTCATGTTGTAATCGTTGGGCTAAGCTATTCATTCTTCTTCTTTGAGCTAAGTAATGTCTAGATGAGCAGTCTTAACTGTTGAGAATTCGTTTCAAACTTGTTAAGATGGTTTCCTCTAATCTTCAATCTTTTATGTGGTATGTCTTGTTAGATATTTTACAATAGAAAAGTCAGGTTACGCTATCAGAATTCGTGCAGGAGCATGCACATGGTATAATTATTTACATATTATCATCATGCACCATAATTGGGGGACAAAGTTGGGATGGCATTGTTGGCGCGGGTGCGTTCATGTTCGAGTATAGCAAGTATATAATGACTCTACATATTCTGATCACAGATATTTTATGTGCAGATGCAGATGGAGATTAATGAGCTACAGCGTCAAAGGGACTTGGCACAATCTCAACTCGAGCTGGAAAGAAGCGCGCACAAGCAGCCAAAAGTACGAATATGAGTTTCCTGACTTCCATTCCCTCCCCCCCACCTTCTATCTCTCATACTTTCTATTTTATGCTAATTTCAGGCATCGGACCATCATGGGCCTTCTCGCCAAGTAGTTAAATGCCTCTCTTTTAATAAAGAGGATGAATCAGTTTCTTCTCGGCATGGCTCAAAAGCCAAAGCAAGAAACTTGGGGAGCAAGGCAGTCAGGCGGTCGACTACTTCTTCTGATATCCTAGTAGAGGAGATCCGGAAGCTAGAGATGAGGCAGAGGCAGCTTGGTGACGAAGCCAGTCGAGCGCTTGATCTTCTTCTCAAAGAAGTTGCATCTCAAAGGCTCGGAAGTGAAGATGCTGCTGAAACTATTGCAAAACTTCTATCTGAAATCAAGGAATTGCATGCAGCAAGTTCCATTCCAGAAAAGATCGAGATCAGAGATAAGGCTACATTGAAAGAAGAAATAGCTCGATTGAATTCTCAAGAAAGCAACATAGCATTTTTAGAAGAAAAGCTGGAGAATGTCCAGAGATCGATAGACAAGTTGGTCATGTATTTTCCGAGTGGGGAGGATACTCCAGCTTTAAAGACTTCGTGGAAAAAGAAAAAGGTTCTTCCATTCACCTTGAGCAATACGGCCAACATGCCGAATCTAATAAGATCTCCGTGCTCCCCTATGTCGTCATCTTGTAAATCAGTGGAATATGGAAATGAAAACAGAGCCCCCGAGATGGACAATCCTATTGTTTTGGGTGATCATGCATTCCAAGGACAAAAAGGCACTCCTTGTAGTGAACAAACTAGTTGCCTCTCGTCCAGAGAGGGTACTCCCGCTCAAAAGCAGCCGAGTTCTGTCAGTGTTAAAAAACTACAAAAGATGTTTAAGAAGGCAACTGAGGAGAATATTCGTAGTATTAAAGCTTATGTCACTGAGCTGAAAGAACGTGTAGCGAAGCTACAATACCAAAAACAGCTTCTTGTTTGCCAGGTGAGCGTGCTTTTTTATTGTTCCCTTTCTTGTTTTGGCCCTAGAATTTAGTTGCATAGTGCAAGATACATGAACACCATTTTATTTTGACTTGAAGCTAAGGTTCACAGTTCTTTTAGCTGCCCATACATTATGTTGCATTTATGCACCATCTCTGGATAATATGGTTAAATAAACTTTTTGAGGCATTTTTGATACACTCTATTAGATAGGACTAGACAGTCAATTGAAGGGTTTAGTTTCCTTTTCTTTTGTTAGCAAGTCTTTTGATTAGAGTAGGGAACACGACGAGAAAGCAGAGCGTATTGCCACCATTCAAGAGTCTCTTTATATTCACGACTCCAGTCTCTTTATATTAGCGATATGTCTTCTTCATGGTTGACCTGCGGCCTGCTTCTTCTTCAATATTCTTATTTCATTTTTCCAAAGAAGTCATTTGATCTGGACTGTACAGTCAACACCAATTGGCTTAGATTCTTGAATAGATGATTGTCATATGCCCTTTCAAGTGGAATTAAGTCAGCAAGTTCAATTGAATATTGTGATATTCATATCTTGTTACCATACATCTGTTATGTGTTGTTATATGCTAATTGGCCTTAGGTGTTGGAGATGGAGGCAAATGAAGCTTCAAGTGATGAGGTCGAGATGATTGATCAATCTCCCATGTCATGGAGCTTGGTGTTTGAGGATCAGAGGAAGGAGATTATTATGCTGTGGCATTTGTGCCATGTCTCGATTGTTCACCGCACTCAATTTTATTTGCTATTTAAAGGAGACCCTTCAGATCAGATATATGTGGAAGTCGAACTTAGAAGGTTAAAATGGTTGGAACAGCAATTAGATGACCTTGGTAATGCCAGCCCCGCACTCTTAGGTGATGATCCTGCGAGCTCAGTATCCTCAAGGTACTTTCAAATGTTTAACAAATCTTCGAGTGCAATTGTACAAGTCATGTTGTAACTAATACATTTTTATGAATGTGCAGCATCAAGGCGCTTAAACAGGAGAGGGAATATCTAGCAAAGAGGGTGAGCTCGAAATTAACTGCAGAAGAGAGGGAGTTGCTTTATTTGAAATGGAATATTCCACCCGAAGGAAGACAAAAGAGGCGGCTGCAACTTGTAAATAGACTGTGGACAGATCCTCTGAATATGCATCACGTACAAGAAAGCGCTGAAGTTGTTGCAAAGCTTGTTGGATTCTGTGAGTCGGGGGAGCCCGTTTCTCGGGAAATGTTTGAGCTCAATTTTGTTCCCCATTGTGATAAGAAGACATGGATGGGTTGGAATTTGATATCTAATCTTTTACATTTGTAAGAAACATTTAGCGTTTTAGTCTCTCTACACTCGTTTTTGTAATTCTACAATTTCTACCTAGTCTTAAATAGCTTAGGTTTCAATCATTTTAGCTATTTGATCTTGTGAGAATCATAAGGGTTGAGTTGGGACTACGTAGTCCAGTGTGACTCAAGTTGACCTCGTTCTTCTAACTCACCTCGACTAGTTGACGTGATATAGTAAAATATAGTTAATTCGACACTGTTCTTCCAATTCAGTGCTGATTTGGTGGTGTTTTTTTTTTCTTTTATTTTTATTTTTTCTTTTGTTTAGTTTTTTAATTGTTGTTTAGCTAAATATTTATAAGCTAAGTTGTATTTTTAACCAAAAAAAAAAATGATTTTTTAATTAAACATAAGGGTAAAAATTGTCAATTGAGGGTCTGGATACTACAAAAGCGAAAGGAGGGAACCGACGTTATCAAAATATTAGCTTGAGGACCTACTTGCTCACGTTCATAGATTGGGTACTCCGGATGTAATTTTCTCGAAACAACCCACTCCAACCCCTCAGCCCTAAAAGCAGCTCTGTGCCACAGCCAAATACGCTTTCTCCTCCTTTGCACTATTTTGAATTTACCAAATCAATATATACATGCACACATAGATACAGAGTGAGAATGGGCAGAGAGATGGCTAATTCAACACCTAATCAGAAACAGCAGCCTTCGGCGATGTCGTACACGGTGGAGCAACTCATCGCCGTCAACCCTTACAACCCCGACATCCTTCCAGATCTCGAAAACTATGTGAATGAACAAGTACGTTATATAAATGCTTGTATTCTCGTTCATTTATCTGTCTGTTTGTATTATCGGGTATGTTTATTTGGATTTTAATATACTATAAATGTGTGAATTTTTGTTTTTGAATTGTGAACTGGGAAAATTAGGTCTCTTCTCAAACGTATAGTTTGAGTGCAAATCTCTGCCTTCTTCGTCTCTACCAGGTTAGTTTATTAATATTTTTTTTAATTTTAATGTGTTGCTTTATAGATAATAGTAATAATTATCAATCTACTAATTTCATGTATTTCCTAATGCAGTTCGAGCCAGACAGAATGAGTACTCAAATTGTTGCCCGCATTTTGATCAAGGTACAATGAGGAAATTTATTGAGTAAAATAAAAATTAATTGTCCTAGATTTTTGGTTCTTTCTTTATTAATTCTTTATCTTGTGTGGTTTGTTTGATTTTTAATATATATGGAGCAGGCTTTAATGGCAATGCCAGCACCAGATTTCAGCCTCTGTCTCTTTTTAATTCCTGAAAGAGTGGTACTTATCTTATTCTCATCACATTTCTTACGACTGTAGTGTAATTCCATAATGTTGTGTAATACTTAATTGTTGCCTTTTAAGTATTCTATTTTATGTATTTTGAAAAATTAGTGCTGATTTCATTGTCTTCAGATTATATTGAGAGCAATATTAAATTACAGTTTAGAAATGATAGCGAATCACATTTTCTGAGTCAATCACCAACAAGAATATGAATTCATTAAATAGATGGACTGTTGTTTGGTAGTAATTCTGAAGTCAGAAATAGAATTAGAAACAACCCATTTTAATTTTAAATGGTCACTAACGACTTTCAATTCCACTCCAAGCAAAAGATTTTTGTTTAGATTGGGGTTAACTTTATGGAGTTTTCCATCTGTTAGTGTTTTGGAGTCTTAGATGAACCCTTGTCGGCTTGTCCTGCCTCTAAATGTTGCAACTGTCTTGGTTGATGGTTCATATTTCTGGCACAGTCTTTCGAAAGATAACTATGCTAGCCCTATTTGTGTGGATGAGCATATCTAGTCAATTGGTTTCCAGATGAGAATGGGGAATAAGAGGTGACATTATAGACTTGTATATTAGTTACCTACCAATTCAACAACTAATGGGCACATACTAATATCTTTTTACGCCCCTATTTGATAGAAATTATAATCTAAATTTTTATCAAAGTCAAAATTAACAATTAATTTTAACTTCATATTTCATGGGACCCGCAACTTTTTAACCACACATTTCATTAACTTGTCTCAAAATCTGTTAAAAATCTGATTTTAATCTACACTAAACAGGGGTTACATATCACCTGAATGAGAAAAAGTTCCAGTATGCTTTAGAGCTATTTATGGAGAAAATTAAAATTTTAAAATGTTGATATGCCTTTTTCCCCTTGTAAAAATGATATTTTTATGGACTGAGTTTGTTGTCTTTTCTTGGCTTTTTAGATCACATGCTGCAATTGTTTCAGCGTGGTTTTAGCTTGTCATTTCTTAGAAGACTTTCCTTTCACTTTTCCTTTGATCGGTTCTCTTCTCTTGTTGATATTACCAGCAAATGGAAGAACAGTTTAAGACACTCATTGTTCTCTCACACTACTTGGAGGTATTTTTTTTTTACTGCACATTCCTTGGGTCTTGAAAAAAAGTACTTAGGTTGAATATCTGAATTGGTATACAATGGTAAAACAGAGATCTTATTATGTTCCCATGTTTTCATCTCCAGACAGCCAGGTTCTCCCAGTTTTGGGACGAAGCAGCTAAGAGTCGCCACATATTAGATGCTGTACCAGGTATTCCAAAATATCAAGTGTTGCTTCTTTGTTTGTTTTTTTTTTCTTGGTGTTGATTTCCCATGTTGAGTTCACGAGAACTGATCTGTTTTTTCTCGAAGTTTTTCTGTAACATAAAGGACTTGTGGAGATGAGGAATTGGGTCAATGTATGATGAACATTTGATGTAAATGGATGATATAGAGGTGCAATCTGGTTTTCCATGATAGATGATCTTTCATATATGTTGATCTTCATGCCTGCCTGTATGTATTTGGGGCAGAGGGAGGTGGCAATGATGAACCCTTGACACACTAGACTTTCCAAGTTTTTGTCACATGCTAAAATGATTGAGAATGTTATTGTATTAATAGAAACAGAGATGATTAATGTGTGACACTGACTGATGGAGACATTTCATTTCCATGTGCTGCCTACTAATCGTGATTTGTAATGATGATGCCATTTTCAATCTTGATCTGTGAAACATAACGTGCCTGTATTGGAAAATTGGTCCATGCGTGGATGATATTTTCATTGTGGGAAAGATAAAGCAATCCCAGTCCATCGTTGTCTATCTCTGTTCTCTGGAACAAACAGCACAGTTTGCTTCCTAGAATTCAATATTCTTTGATGTGGTCTGTTATTGGACATGCACATACATCTAGCCCCCGTTTGGTGCACATTTTGAAGATAAGAATGCATTTTTATTGTTGATGTGATGGGGAATATGTGGTTGAAAAAGAAGGAAAAGTTATTGATGTGATGAAAAATATTATTGTATTGAAGAATGTATGGTTGAAAATGAGTAGAAGAATGAGAATGAAAAAAATAATGTAAACCAAACAGGGCCCTAATAAAGTTGCATATAAAATTTCAGGGTTTGAACAAGCAGTTCAGGCATATGCAATTCATGTACTATCACTGACTTACCAGAGGGTTCCGAGATCTGTTCTTGCCGAGGTATGGTTCTCTGTCCTGATATTATTTTCCTGCCCAGTGCTTAGAAACAAGTTTGATGCCTGGAGAAAGCTCTCGACTCACTTTCTCAAGTAGCCACAGTGATTAAGGCTTCTCTGTGTACCCTTTCCCAATTAGCCATTTATCAATTTTGTTTTAGTTGTGAATTTAGCTTGTGCTTGTTTCACAGGCCATCAACGTCGAAGGTATGTCTCTTGACAAATTCATCGAGCACCAAGTATCCAACTCGGGCTGGGCTATAGAGAAGAGTCAGGATAAGGGCCAATTCATTATTCTCCCAAGCAATGAATTCAACCATCCAGAGCTCAAGAAAAGTACCGCCGACAGTGTTCCATTGGAGCATATCGCCCGTATCTTCCCCATTCTTGGCTGACAAGATCCCGAATTTTGCTATTATTGATCAAAGCCTAGAATGGGATATAAAATTTAAGCCGCAGCAAAGGGTGAATATAGCTTCTGTTCAGAGGCTAAACTGAAATCTTTTTTAATTTGCCATGTTTTTGTTGATTTGGTGTAACGACTATAAAACCTCATATCTCGCTGTCTTCTTTTTATCTCTATGGAGAGTTTATTCGGTACCTGTGTTCTTACACCTGTGTAGTCATTAGCAATTTCTATGCAAGGAATTCGATTAGCAAGGTCATCCTCTACTTTTAAACAAGAGCAACGTCATTATTAACTTTTTAATATAATTATACAATTAATCTTGAATAATAAAAATTGATTAAATTTTTGTTAAATTGTCATATGGCTTTCGTGAGTAAAGGTACTTGTGGCATGATTGAATGATGGATTTTGTGGATAGATTGGTTTAATGAGAGATTGTGAGGTAGATAAGCGAAATCTAGACCTACTTGAAAAAGTAATGTGTACAAGTACATTAGAAACAAAAAACATTTCGAGTCCTTTCTAAGTTAGTGATTATTCATTTAAATAATTCTCAAATTTTAGCATTGATTGAACTTGAGTTAATTGTTTCATTAGTCAATCAACTTATGTCTCATTCACGATTTACTCATTGAACTTTAAAATGCTTTCGAATAGTTACTGAATTTTAACACATTACATTTCATCACCCATTCACCATGTTTCACTAATTGTTGAACTTAGACCTTCTTCATGCTTTACTCATTAAACTTATACTCCCGTACGTTTTACTTTCTAACTTTGAAATGCTTTCGAGTCACTGAACTTTACTTTCTGAATTTAGCAATTCAAAAACTAAAAATTTTGAGGTATAAAATACCGTACATGAAAACGACGCCCTTCTTCCATCTTGAACGACCTCATAACGACTAAAAATTATATTTTTTTAGAATTGAGTAATATTATTAACTCTAAATCAAATATTCCATAGCATGTTTGATATATAAAATTTTATTTTCTTGATTTGGATCTACAATCTCAAATCGAAATAAAGAAATAATTTTTCTACTTATTTTCTCGACGTAAATGAAGATTATGAATTAAATTAAGATTTATGTCGATTTGAATCTAACATTCTTCTTTTTCCTTGAACATATTTTTTGACGACTAAAAAATTTATATCTTATTGACCAATATCAATATTCTCGTCATAGATTGAGAGTCTCATTATCTAGTCGATATTTATTTTATTTATTAATCTAGGTCAAACTTCACAAAAAATCAATTGTACTTGAAAGCATTACGAAGTTCAGTGATTACTCGAAAGTATTTTAAAATTTGGTGAGTAAAGCGTGACGAGTATATAAATTCAGTTACTAATGAAACATGATTAGTGATGTGATACAACATATTAAAGTTCAATAACCACTCGGAAGCATTTAAAATTCAATGAGAAAAGCGTGGAGGATGTCTAAGTTTAATAATTATTAGAAAACATTTTAAAATTCAATGAGTAAAGCATGGGACATATGTATAGTTCAGTGGTCAATGAAACATTTAGCTCATTGAATTTTTTTTGTTTGGGTGAAAGATGGAAAGATCAAATAGCAACCAAAAATAAAAATTGATAATTACTTACTTAGTTCTGTTTGGTTCAGTTAATAAATATAAGTCGAAGTCAGTAATTATATATTTCATGGATTCATAACTTTTTAACTGCACATTTTGTCAAATTTTATTAAAATCTGATTTTTATCTGGGCCAAACCCTAACTCAAGTTTCGCCAAACATGCACCATAGAGAAACATTTCACATCCTATTCTACGCCCTATCCGGTTTATCAAATGAACTGATACAAGTTTTTCGTTAGTAGCCCTTACCGCGAAATTGAAAAAGGATCACTAAAAAACCCTAAATCGTTTTCCCGGGATCGGATATAGTGATCATCAATGTCGTCGAACAAGCGTCATCACAAAGAGAAGATAGCTCGTCGCATAAAGTACGTATTTTTCTACAATATTTTCCATTTTTAACTAATGATTTTTTACTCCTTTGATTGTTCGGATCAATTGTCGATATTTGAAGTGAAATTCTTGTAATTTTTTTATTTTTATCCCTTTTCTGATTTTTTATGTTTTTATTATAATTAGATTTTAGTTAATTAGCGTATTTGTTGTTGTTTTGTAAATGAAATTCTCAGCTTATTTCCATTTTTCTCCCTTTCTGGGTTCTTTTGGATTTCATTATTATTAATTTTTAGTTGATTAACGTATGTGGGAATGTTGTTTGAAATGAAATTCTTGTATTTTTATTCTCTTCTCCGCTTTTTTTTCATTGTGTTTTTGTAAATAAAATTCAAGTATTTTTCCATACGTTTATAACTTTTTTTTTTACCTTAACAAATTTTTAGTTAATTATCATAGTTGGGATTTCTTGTCTTATTTCTACTATTCTCCCGTTTGTTTCTTTTTTCATTGCAGTTAATTATCATATTTGGGAGTATTTTTGGAAATGAAATTGTTTTTTTCCTACTTTTCTTCCTCCCTTTTCTTTTTGCTTCCGTTAGAATTAATTTTTAGTTAATTACCTTATATGAGATCATTTTTGTGAGATAAATTCTTGCCCTTTTTGTGTTTTTTTGCTTTCGTCATAATAATTTTTTTGCTAATTAGTTTCATGGTATTATTTGGTGATATTTGTGTGTGTACTTGAGGAGAATAGTACAGAAGTAACTGAGTGATGAATTGGTTGTTGCAGTAAAGAGGAGAAGGCGGAAGAGCCTGAGCTGCCGAAATACAGAGACCGAGCAAAAGAGCGGAGGGAGGATCAGAATCCGGATTATGAAATTTCTGAATTGACATCTTTCCATGCTGTTGCTCCCCCGGGAACTGTGGATCTTGGGTGAGATGCCAGTATTGAATCTTCATTTAACAGTTTTTCCTTTCTTTTCCTTTTTTAAAATTCCATGTTATAATTCTGAATAATCACTGTATTTAATTGCTATTTTGGATGATATTTGTAGGTCTGCAGATGCTCACAAGTTATCTATAGAGAAGAGTAAATATCTTGGAGGTAAGTGGTGTGGGATTAATTATTTGTTATACATCTAATATTAGAATGTGAATGTACCGGGTCTTTCAAACTTGAATGGTGTTTTTTAGTTTAAACTCTTAACAGGGATGATGAATAATAATTCATCATCATCTATAGGCAACCAAAAAATGGAGTTCGATTGTCCTCAATGTGTCTCTGAGGTGGTGTCTTCAGCCTAGTTGCGTCCACTTTCTTTCAGGCCATTGTTTTGTTCTTTGAGCATTCCTTATCAGTCCTTCAAAGAAAGAGGAATATTTTGATCTTCTATTTCTCAGATGCAAGCTAAATTTGGTTTTCGTAAGGGTTAATCAAAATTTTCCGCACCCTCTTAGCGCCAATGCAGAATTTCTTTACCCCTATTGAATTTGTATTGAGACAAACGCAAATATTTGACTTATGTTGGCTCTTAATTTAGTTGTTGTTTTTCCCTAGAAAGTGCCTTCTCTTACATGGGTTGTAACGTCATGCAGGTGATGTGGAGCACACACATCTGGTGAAAGGGTTAGATTTTGCTTTACTTAACAAAGTGCGAAGTGAAATCGACAAAAAGCCTGATATTGGAGAAGAATCTCATGGGAAAGCTGCGTAAGTAGCTTAAGTGGGTGTTTTATATTCTGTGCAAATTGATATTCACTTCTCTCTGTCTCTCCTTTTATTCTGTTTCAGAAAAAGTATTCATCAAAATCTCTTTTATTTGTATAATGGTTGAACTCTTGTTATATCTCTCTGCTTATGTTTGATTATTTTGTTAACGAAAGTATGCTGCTTAGAAAGGAGAATATACTCCTTATGCTGAGGGAAAGCTTTTAGAATGTTAGTTACAGCTGTGCATGGAATTGGGACTCATTTGTAATGTCATAAAAAGAAATGAGACACCTATTAGGAATAAATGTCAAACCAAAAAACAGACTGAAAGCACCTACCTCATGTTTAGGCTTGTTGGTTTCAGTGAAATGCCAGAGAGAGTTATGCATGTGCCTTCTTTAGCGGAAAAATGTTGAAAAGCATAATTTCGTTAACGGTAATGAGATCCTTAAGCCGCTCAGCTGCAAGATGGAGAGAGAATATACCAGGATTATTGGGGAGGAAAAAATTCGAATGGTGACGATTTTGACCAATCTCAGAGAATGCATCTATGCAGTCACCTAGGTTATCAAAGAGAGGAAGCTAGTCCTGGAGGGCGGATGTACCAGTTTTAAGACTGCCATAAGCTACTACTCTTGAGTTTTAGCTATTGTTTGGATGTCCTTTTTAGTTGCTAAAATTATAAGTTGGCAGATATGAGTGGTGGATAACTAGGTACTACTTGTCGGTCCTATGAAATGTGTGGTTAGTAACTTCTTAGCAACTAAATGGGAAATCCAAACAAAGGCTTATGCTTGATGACTATCTATGTCTGGGAAATATTTTCCATGGAAAATGAAAAAAGGGAAAAGGATAGGGAATAAGCCTCTTCTCAAAGAATCCTAATATTATTCCATTTAACGCTCTCATAAGGGTTTTAGTTAGAATCAGTGAAATAACTTTCAAGCATTCTTTGCAAAATAGTTTTAGGCTAGCATGGAACATCTGCATTTTTGTTACTGGAAATCCCCGAGATGACACAACAAATGTTGTTTTGTTCCTATAAGTAGTGCTTCTGATAGTAATAAAAAATGCTTGCCTAAGCAATTATTGGGGTTTGTTTTGTGCATTAAGAGTCTCTTTCTGTGAACAGAAGATACAAGGAAGACCAACCAGTGTCATTCCGCACTGCAGCAGCAAAGGTGCTTAGATTTACTGGAATTCATTAAGTTTTAGTTTGAAACTGTGTAATTTATTTGAATTTTTTCATACTAAGTAACCTACTGCTATACTTGTTTCAGTCAGTTTATCAGTGGATTGTCAAGCCCCAAACTTATAAGACCAATGAAA